AGCTTTAGGGAGACTGCGGTTGTGTTCTTTCTTTGTAAGAACTGTATCTTCAGTACAAAATGTTACACAAAGTCCTCCTTATATCTGTGTAACAGTATTCAACTTCTCTGTAATAGTGGAACCATTGCACAGGAGATATCAAGTAATTTTACATCTACACAGCTGCTGATCTCACTCCAGTCTTTGATACCCAATAGTAGCATATAAAGAGTGTGTTCTTCAGTGGCAGTTTCCATTTAGCAGAGGAAGTCCTTAAAAACAATGAACTGACTGTGTAACTTACCAGTACGAACACCAATTCGCTTCCTACATTGTGCTTACCTAAATATATGTTCATCACCTGCTTCTAAACCCCGACAGCTGCAGGTACATGGAGAAACCACAAGAATATTTGTCGCTACGCGCTATCAATCCATTGTCCAAACAGTACTTAAAAGCGTGATCTGGGTTACATTTTCTCCTTAATCGGTGAACATTGTTTATATTAGCGTTATAATAATGACAGGTCCTATCATCCAATGACTAGCATTCGTTCAAGGTCATTGTAGCGTTCGCACTTCCGGGTCGTCATACTTTAACTTGGCTATTTTATGTTTAACTATTCTGAAAGTGTTTTTTATCGATATTTTACACCGCTGGAATATCTATTGTAGCTTTAGCGGTGACTCTAAACTATAGCAGCTCAAACCGAAACTACCTAGCGAACGGACAAATGACCTTAACAACGACAACTTCGATCAATCAGAAGCCTCTATAGAAATGGCGCATAATTTTAATAAATCGTTTATATACAAAGTAATGCAATGTTAAAAAACAGTTACAATGGATAACGTTCTCGCATGTGTTCCGAAAAATCTCCCAATTTCTCACTGGAGTCTTGATACTTATACTGAACCAAGTCCTGTTCATAAACTCATCGAGATAACTGTATATCATTGCATTTCTTGATCCATTCACAGATCTGATCCGTTTTTTAGGTAACTCAAAAACTTTCGATGGAATTAATGTGACGGCGATGGTGACGACGTTGATGAATATAGCCCAGGGTTGATAGCTGACTATAACTACTCCATTCATCTGTATTAATAGTTGTTCCAGACAGCACTAAGCGTTGGATAATAAGCAATAAGACATTTGCACTGTGAATAGGAATCGCCTCAATGTATCCTTACTGGAGGCTGGTGTCATATATCCTCAATACCCACTGCTGACTCGCACTCAATCTCCCTCCATTATATTTCCTTTTTATCAGCACTGTTTCATCCACGCGAACAATGACGCCAACTCCGCGAAGTACTTGAGTCAGCCTGTTTATTTTCCATGATGTTATTTCTTTACAGTACTGGTACCATCGCACTGCAGACATTTCTGAATTTTCTGATACATGCGCTGTTGCTGTTACTGGTCTTTTAACCAACCAGTTATGACACATCATTGAAATTTTCGTTAGAGGCAATTTAGACTTGGAGAAAAAAGTACCTACGAAATGTGTAAACTAAAAAAGAACAGCGTGCCTTCTCGAACTGACTTTCTAGTTTGGCACTCACTGCACCTGTAAACAAATCCAACAATCCACACATCTAGTATATCTTCGTATATACATGACGCCTACACATTCACACTTTTCCCACCTTCCTATCAGTTTGTTCTCCAAATAGGTATATCAAAAGCAAGTTCTGGAGCAAATTTGCAACCCAAAAGATGTACAGCATCCATAAGCACGCCTGGATAATGCGGAGTCACTTGATTAGTTGTTCAAAGTCATTTACCTGTTCGCTAGGTAGTTTCGGTTTGAGCTGGTATAGTTTAGAATTACTGCTTTAGCTATACAATGCGCGAAAACACAGTGCGATTACTTAAATCTTCATGCGCATATATGCACTTTAAAGATTTGAGAGTATGTTTACTAAAACCCACTTAGTTTGTTGTTGTTATTGTTAATTTTTCCTAGAAAAAACAATATCCAGATAGGTGTTTTGCTGGTCAAACACCTCTAATTTATTCAAACAAAATTCTTACCTGTTTAATCATTGAACCGATTCAATCTTTCAATGATTCAGTAATCAATCTTTTTGGGTAATAATTATGACGCAAATAAATCTTTTTAGAGTGTTAAACCCCATGAGACATCACAATTGTTGATACAATTTGTTTATGCCTTGAAATCTTTTTGTTGACTGATTTCTTCATCTCGAACGCCTGACCGTGATAATGAATTTTGTTATTGTAAACAAAACTTGAGTTTGCTTCTTATTCAAAAGTACTCAGTACAACAGTTAGAAGTATGCATTTTGATCATTGAACATTGAATGTTCTGTAGAGAGAGAGAGAGAGAGATGATGAGTTGAGTATTGAATTTAAAATACCTATTTTACCAGATTTGTACTTATTTCAACAGTTATTAATTGACGATTATCGATTGTTTTTGATCAAGTTGTGTTCTCTGAGATAACTGGTTTAATTGTGAAGCTTATGTTGTCCCTCTAGGCAACATCTTCAGCTCAGGCTTTAATATGAACTCAACTTTTTGATTGGACACTAGTAATTAGTATGATGTGTCTAGTCCTTTCTTTGGTCCAGACTGAATTCTGTAAGTCAGGTTCGCAATGTGGCCGCCATTCTAGGTAGCTCACCATCCCGGTGCACATTAATTTGATGATACTAGATAGTTGGAAGCAATCGGCCACAGAAAGGCTTGGACATAAGTTTCGTGCTAGTTGGCACTCACTAGTCAACAAGGCGTATCTGCAACCTTGAAGGAACTTATGCGCCTTCTATGGTTCGAACCCACATCACCCAGTGTTGTAGTCACTCGAATAGTTCAGTGGTAACGCCTCTGACTGCAGCATTCACTGCATGACACGGGTTCGAATCCCAGAAAGGACATGAGTTCCTTCAAGTTTGTAGATACGCCTCGCTGGCTGGTGAGTTCCAACATGCACGAAGCCTAGGACATGCAAGGCTTCCTACCGATTGCCACCAACTATCTAATATCATCAAATAAACTGAACTTATCGAGATTCTCGATGAATGATGATATAATTGTGTCTCCTAGCAACTTTTTGGCAAGTTCACCAATGGCGTCCCAATGGATGCGAACGCACGGGTGACCTTCAGCCGACCAATCATAAAAGTGGGGAATTTTTACACAAGAAAGGACGTTTTTCAAGAAAATGCATTAAAACACATTAAACAGGTTATCCTTATCTGATATGACTTAAAAATACGTCCCAGTTATAATGAGGAGTACCATTTGCTAAGTTAGACTAGTTCCTGTACATGTATTCACCGAGGTGACTGAATATGAGCTGTTTCTTTGAATTGTTCAGCTCACTTATCCTGTTGTGAAGTCTTCCCCAGACCTCTTGGTTGACTTCCTATGGTTTCCAATAAGAGGACCGACGACTACTAACCAGGAATCTGTGGATAATAAAACAAATTAAAATAAATAACATCAACTATAAATCTATCCCTAATCGTAACCCTAACCTTAATCCAGACCCTAATATAACCCTAACCTTAATCCTAACACTAATCACAACCCTGATCCTAACCATAACGAGCTATCGACAAATTGTCGAAACTGCACTTAAAAATGTGATCTGCGTGAAATTCGCTCCCTGAGTTGGTGAATAGCGTTGACACTTCAGCTATGATAATGACAGATGCCGTCAGCCAATGACTAGCACTTGGACTTCCCCCCGATTTTTTCTGAATTGGTTGTTAATTTATCTCTTTGTTGGTCATTTTTATCGACTTGAAATTGGAACTTCTTTGTCATAGAACACATAATATTTTTTTCTCATATCCAAGTTGGGGATCCCCATAGGAAACACCTTCTCAACAGAACTCCAAGCACACCATCAGATTAATTTTCATATGTCGACTTGTAGAGATTTAATTGATCACAGGTTAGACGACGAATCAATATCACCTTACATTTCATCTCGTAATAAGTTTCGGATAGTAAAGTTAAAATTGAAGTTAACATCTGTGTAGAACAACGAAACTATATTACGTTGTATAGGATCTGAAGCAAGACCGCTTTGTGTGACACATTTTATTCTGCATAATCATTCCAACTTGAATTTGTGTGGATTCTCATCAAATAAGATGCAATGACTTAACATTTCTGATTTTGTTTGGTTCACGTCTTGTTTTCAGAGATTCCTGCTAAGTATAATTCAAAACTGATATTCTGATATACCTTGAAGTTCTCGCCCCGACACAAAAACATTCTATGGACTGAAACTGTATTGAAAATTCATGATCAGATTTAATTTCAGCAGTGTAGTTGGCTCCAAACACTGATTGTCCATAACGGTGGACAGTGAGTTGAAGCTTTTTAGTGAATGGTGAATAGCATTTGAATCTAGGATGCGCATTTCGTCCTGTTTCGGACTCATCTGGGGTGTTAACGCTTTGGCGTTTGAAATGGTAGGTAGTGGGTCTGAGCTTCAACGGGATGATGATCACTTACTGGGGAAAGCACGTTCATCCAGCTAGCTGATGACTCCTTAAAGGGGCGAAATGCACGTTAAACTGGATTCCTCTGGTAGTCACCATCCACTAAGTTACTGAAAATTAGCGCTCATACATTAGAAGGAGACAAATTGACATTGAACCAACTTTCAGTCCAATCAATCAAAACTAAATTGAAAATTAGAGTACTTAAAATTAAAGTGTTAACTGTCCAAGTTTATTATTTCAAATACAAACTCTAGCTACTTATAAGTAGTTAGCAGAAAATATAGAAATTAAGTGGAGAATACTTGAGAAATATAAAACTTTTACCTGTGCATAGTGGCTGCATAGTGGATACTACTATATCTGTATCAGTAATTAGAGTGAACACATCGCATAGGAAGTAGAATTTAAATTCCACTGGTTGTACTTTGAGTTGGGGACTAACTACACATTCATTTGTGGCCTGAAATGATGGCTACAAGATAAGAATCCGAGTGGGAAAATCATCACTTCAAGAGAATATGGATATATACATCTGATGAGTTCCAGTTAGGACGAAATAGGCAGTCATGAATTCCACTTCTAGTCGCCAGAAGCTGATATGAAGTGTAACACTTCCAGAATTAGAGCCATTCGCATACTGCTAGCCAACTAGATCCTAAACAAGCCGATCACCCCTCTGGTATTCAGATCATTTTCAATTGGACGTAATAGCTGCGGTACGTAGCATTATATGGTTTCCAGTGGTTAATTCATTGATCTCATTTTTATTCCAGTGAACGTTCACTGTAATATTTTATTACTTTTTTTATAACCGTTTCAGGTCCGTCGACTTCGTTAGCCTGTGCTCTGGCAACTGACAATCAATTCGGAGGGAAAGAACTACTCTCCTTTATATTTAGTACTGTGCTAACTTATATGGTCCCATGTATTCTACTTGTATTTATCAATTCAATCATTCTGATTAAATTAATTAGTATTAAAACACGTCGACGTATACTTTGTAAGAGAGAAGATACACACGCACATTTAATCAATTGGACTAGTAATGGAAAGTCAAGTATTACACCACAGAATGATCCAACCTCACCAACTAAAGCATTAGCATCTGCACTGGCTACAATGTTGCTAAAGCGTAGACGACATACTATTCTAGAAGATCGTAAAGAACTTGGACGAGTTGTAGCCTTGTTATTATTATCATGCTTTTATTTATGCTTTACATTTCCAGTGAGTATAAGTTTAACAATACGTGCTAGTTTAAATGATCAACATGACAAATGTGTACATACACTATATGCACATTTATCAAGACTGTTGACGTCTATAAAAGATATTAATTATGCACTGAATGGTTATACATATGCACTATTTTTTCAATTTTATCGTCATAAATTACTACAAATTTTTACCTGTAAATTCACTACTTCTGCTAATAATAATACTCACTATACTCGTCGTGATGGAAATACAGCGACTTGTTCAAGGAATAATAGACGACAATCATCATCGACCACGTGAAAAATTAACGCCGGAAGATAGTGAGAATAAAAATGATAATATTAAGATGACAAATTTAAGTTTTTACAATCCTATCAAGTAAAGAACAAATCACATCACTTTTGTTTCACATTGAACCCATTGAACACTGAAGACCATGCCAGCATACTCGCCGCGAAAATTGACCAATCAGTTGTTTGTGTAAAAATGGAAATCTAAAATCTGTAGGCACAATAAAATCGTATGAACTTTTCTGTGATGTATTGACAGTGTACTTTAAATTGTATTGCATTAAACCCACTTTATGATTCTTCTTCTTCTTTCACATGATTTCGTTCAAAGACGAATTATCTCACTTTTGTTGTGTGTTCTTTCTACCTCTAATAGTGTGCAATTTAGAAAGTATTTATTTACTTATTTATATATGTGAATCTGTAAACGCATTTCTCCTCTTTTTTGTTTGATAAACAAACATAATTTTGGGCAAAAATTTTTCTTTTCAAGAATTTTTACAGTTTGTTGCATATGCAGTTTAAGACAACGGTTTTTCACCACTGCAGTTTCTTTTGGGGGCTAAGTCCCAGGAGTGTGAACGTTCCAACGACTTTGAAAGCATACTAGTCGTTGGCTGACGGCATCTGTCATTATCATAGCTGAAATATCAACGCTATTCACCAACTTAGGGAGCAAATGTCACGCGGACCACGCTTTTTAGTACTGTTTGGACTATGTGTTAATAGCTCCTTAGGGTTAGGATTAGGGTTTAGGTAGGTATCGGGGTTAGAGTTAGGATCAGGGTTATAATTAGCATTAGGGGAGTGAATAACGGTTTGAATAAGGGTTAGGATTAAGGTTAGGTTTAGTGTTAGGGTCAGGATTAAGCCTATGGTTACGATTAGGGATAGATTTATAGTTGACGTCATTTATTTGAGTGTTTTTTTATTATCCATGTTTTCCGGGTAAGTAGTTGTCTATCCTCTTGCTGGAAACCATACTAATTCAACCGAGAGCTTTTGTCAAAGACTGCGAGCAGGATGAGAGAGATAAACGATTCACAAGAACAGTTTATCTGTTGTCATCTCGGTGAATACATTTGCAGAAACTAGTTTAACTAAGCAACTGATACTCCTTGTTACAACTAGGATGTATTTTTAAGCCATGTCAGAGAAAGACAACCTGTTTAATGCGTTTATCAAGCATTTTCTTGTCATTACGCATCATATTTTGAGCAAACCTTTCTCATTTTTATGATTGGTCGACGGAAAGTCGCTCGTGCGTTCTCCCTCCTGGGACTCTGTTGTTGTACTTTTCCTTTTTGGAAACCAAAATTATTCAGATAACAATTACGTCAATTAGAATTCTTCATGAAAAAATTAGATTTCAACACACTGTCTGAATGGTCAATAGCCTCACTTCTTAACATGAAGGTGCTCAATTCGACTACCGATGAGGTCATTAATGAGTATTCTTGAACTGTCGTAAATCCAGGGTGAAAAAGCTGTCCAGTAATTAGTGGTTCTCAGTGATTTTCAAACTAATGTCGGTTTACCATGAATCAATTTTTTAACGAAACACTTTAATTGATTCATTCCAATAAACATCATCATTCCTTAGCAGTACCCATTTAGATGACTAAAAGTTTTACTGTCTCCACTAAACGTCTTCTATAGAAGCCTTTTCGACAGCCAACAACTAAGGCGTTATCTAAAAATTTGAACTAACAATGACTAAATGATCTGAAGGTAGAACTTTGCACAGACGCGCGGCAGTTTGAGTTGCTACACTCCCTCCTTTTAGCACAAACAAAGCAAGGGAAGAAAGTAAACAGAGGTTCAAAAGAGAGATAATAAATTCAAGTTTTAGCGAAAAGAACAGTAATATGGAAAAACAACAGAGTTTTATTGATTATAACAGATCACATATAATGGATGTATTTGCAGCATTGGGAATGATTTGGAGTCATATCACCTACCAGCTGTCTCTAACCATCCCAAAGACCCCAAACAGACAACAACCCAAACCTAATATCCTACGTGACTGTCTTAAGCTGACTGTTGTAAATACGACCGACTAATGGATCCGTGTTTTGGTTTGAACACCACTAACTCATTTCAAACATTATCCATCCTATGTCAGTTAGCATTGGCTGTCAATGTATTTGAAAATTGAACGATCAACGTCGTGGCAGCTCATTAAGGCAGAGTCCACAACATTTGATGTATTGATTGTACATATGTTTGTGTTAAATAATTGAGTGGATTCCAATTATTGTAATTGTTGGTTAATCTTGTTTGCCTCCAGACATTCTTCATATTACAATCGTCAACCTGAGAAGGATTGCAGGCGTACTGGTGTAAGTCCTGCAATTCTTCAAAGGAATTACATCGAGACACGATTGGCGAGGTTATGTATATATGTGTGGTGTGTCATATCAATTGGTGTTTTAGGATTCATTGAGTTTACTTGTTGTTTTCGTATCTTGTTGTTATTGCATAATTTCGTTAAATTTTTCGTCGTATTTACTTCTGAAGTTGTTTCGAGTCTTCTACATCCGTGAATGAATTGATTGATGTTAAAGACAGCAGATGGGTCGTATACGCCGGGGAGGCTAGTGCCGAGAATAACATGCACACGGAGATAAGGATTAGCTGTGGTCCCACACGCTGGGGAGCAAGAATGTAGACGACTAAGGCTTACATACGTCACTGTTACTAGAACTGAGTCAGAATGAGTGACAAGCGATCGCAGTGGTAGTTGGTAGTGAATAGATAAGAGGATTTGTGAAGAGTATCATGAGGTGGTGCTATGGTCACATTGCGTTCTACAAGAGTCATTCTAGCAAGTGGCGATTATGTTACAAGATATCAAGAGGATGCCTTTAACTGGAAGGCGTAGGTCGTCATTGGTGAGTGTGTTTGTGGTGTGGTTATGCCTGCGTTGTGTTGGCTTCGCTGTTCGTTTTCCATTTCAGCTTTGTCTGTGTGACCCAGGTTCTCTCAATGAAATCCAAGTCAACGTGTATTGGTCGTGATGGAAAAAAGGGATGGATCCCTCTTTTCCGGCGAGTGTCAATGTAGTTGAAGATTGAACGATCAATTCATGGTTGTTTGCTCAAACCCAACTCCTCCATATTTTTCGTTGGAGTCATCAACCTAGCAGTCATCTTCTCATCATTCGCTGTTCAGTGGAAGATAGAAAACTATCAGAAGTATTATTGTAATCTATTGTTATAACATTTATTCTTAGACCTTGTGTATAATATCCTTATTTTTTGCTACATATTGGCGTACGAATAAGGGATTCTCGAGTCGCCAATCTGTGTTCTGGTTTTTCGCGTTGGTTATTACCAATCGTTTCTGAAAGTCTTCCAGTGACAGAGTGAGGTCCAGCTTAGTAAGAACTGGACATTGACACTGGCCATCGAGAAAGATAGGCGATGGCTAGGTGTGAGTAACACATGTCCTAATCGTTTCAATCAATGTGACTTCATTATGGCCGAACTAATAACGACTAGCCTCAAATAAATCTCAACAGATTTTTGGATACGTGTTTGTTGAAATGTTGAAAAGTTTAACTGCCCCAGAAATTTAAACGAATAATAATTATTATAAACGAAATACAAAACATTTAAATCATCAGTAAACATTCGTAGATAATGTATAACAAGCGCCTGTGGCTATTTAATACAATAATAATAATAATCATAACAATGACAAAGATAAAAACGCATTCAAGCGAGATATAATACCTACATATATTGATCTAACACCTTACATTCCTTGACTATGATATTCAGGCTATTCAGGTCTAGTGTTAAATAAAACTGAAGAACTACACGTGAAAATTAACAGAAGAAAGCAGAGAAGACAAGACTTCATATGAACATAGAGAAGACAGAAGTGAAGATACCTGACCAACAATGAGTGACAAGTATCAGTCATTATTAACAGGAAAAATCAAAATAGAAGATACTTCATTAGCTTATCTGTCCGACGCTGTTTTTAGTGCAGTCGGCACAAAATAGAGATGTCAATGTGGGAATCACACATCGACTCGAAGTTAGAGGCAATTCAATTCACTTATGATGAATTGAAAAGTCAGGAAAGGGGAAATTCCATTGTTAGATTGTAGCGTAAAAAAGGAAAGAGGATGGGAAGTTAAACACACACTGGTGTTCACAGGAAACCCACACATTCAAACAGATATTTAAACTTCCAATCATCCCATCTTATGTCAGTGAAAATAGGATTGGTGAAATGTTCAAATAATAGAGCACAAAACTAAGTAGTAACAAAGCGAAATCTAAGATAGGAAGTGAAGCATATATGTGAAGCCTTGAAACTTCATAATTAACCTGATAAATTAATCAAGAAGTATGTAGGGAAATGTAAAAATAAAATAAATAATGACAGTAGTGATAGTGATAATAATAATAATAGTGACGACATGCATGTCAAATATGTGTAAGACAACACCAACAATAAGAAAATTAAATCGTCAGTATTAATTCCATACAAGGGAGAAACCTCGGAAACCTTACAGAGAATCCTTAACAATGCCGGAAAGAATAAAAGTGGCTGGCATTCAAGCCCACAAACTCAATGGGAAAAAAACTTTGTCGGTTAAATGATCCTGTGGAGCCTTTAAAACAAAACAATTTAGTTTATCTAATACTCTGCAATTATTGTCAGGTCACATACATAAGCCAGAGTAGTAGAACAGGTGCAGTCAGACTAGTAAAGCAGCATAAAAGCCTAGCGAAATCTAGATTGTTTGACCCGAATAAGATGAGAAATCTAGAGAATAGTTCAGCTATAACACTCACAACATGCAATCACACACAATACAACCGTACAATGGGATGGGATAGGGTGAGATGACAGTTTTAAAATCTAATGTAGCAGCAGGGTGGAGGGAAAGGATTGATAACAGAAGCTTTGCTCATCCAATCACCTGAAAATACGTGTAATAGGAATGATTCAACACCTGTCAAGCCGGACATCTGGAAAATCCTACTACCCCTACGACAACAAACAGGAGAGGGCAAAGAAAACTATAAAACTCAAGTTTCGAAGTCGTGTGATTATAATTGATCAAATGATTATGAACAATAAGTGAATTGTGTTCGAAACGTCATCCAGCAAATAATACTATTTCTGTGACTGTGTGGCACAATTTAATAAGCAAACTGATATGAAATTACCTGCCACTACAGTGCCCAAATTTTACACACTTATTAGTATCCATTTCCCGCTCTCTTGTAGTGTACACTGAACCTCTGAACTTTTGTTTCCCGCACAACCTGGAGGACAACTGTACAATTCCATAACTATACGGCCTGGTTCAGACAATGAGTGTAATTATATATACATATCCAATATTTAGCTGTTGAAACATTATTAACTTGTAGACAATTTAAGATTTGACATTATACCATACTAGATCGTGCCTGTAAAAATGGCATGCATTTTCATGTAAATTTATGTTTATATGAAAATATACATTATTACTATAACTCACT